TGAGGTCTCATGTATGCTCAAGCCACACTCAGTGTCTCAAATCCCTTCATGTTGCCTACATATCAAGATGTAGCCAACACCATGTTTGCCCGCATGCTGCCATGCTCCCCACCATGGTGATAATGGTCTGAACCTCTGAAAATGTAAGCCACCCCAATTAAATGTCTTTTTCTTTATTAGAGTTGCCACGGTCATGTTGTCTCTTCACAGAAATAGGAACTCTTGCTAAGACACCATCACCAAGGGCAGCTCTTGTCACCTGTAAGCTCCAGTTCCAAGGGATCCAGTGCAATCTTCCGGCACATGGCAGACACACAGATACATCCATGGCCATAAAAATAAAATAATAAGCCCAGCACAGTGGTATATGGCTGTGATCTCAGCACTCGGGGGTTGGAGGTGATAGCATCAGGAGTTCAAGGCCAGTATTGACTACATAGCAAGGTGGAGGCCAGCCTGGGCTCCACAAAACCCTGCCAAGAAGAAGAGGAAGAGGAGAAAGGAGAGGAGGAGAAAGAACAAAAAAAAAAATGAAAAGGTTCTTAGAGAAAGCAATGAGAACTTGGCCATTTATGCTGTTCTTAAACTTTATTTGGAGAATTGGGTAATACCCCAAGCCCCAAAGCTTTGGACTGCATAGACTATACCTTCAGGAGGAGTTTTAGTTATGGCTGAGTTTCTATAAGATGCCAGGCAGGCACGGAGATAATTAAAGGGTTGCTTCAGAGACACATCTCAAGAGTTCTGCACTCACACCAAAGCTCCACCTGTAGCCCCACTTGGTCATTCTAACCATAAAATAATTCCTCTGGACTCAGTTTTCTCATCTGTCAAACTGGAGATAATAATACCACCTATCTCAAGTGATACCCTCGGTCTGGACTCACAGGCTGGAGGAAGTTCCCAGTGGAATATGGATGAGGCAATGAATTCCCTTTTAGGTAGAAGTCACCAACTTCTAACCCAAAGGAGTACTAATGTTTGGACCAGATTACACGATCGCAGGTGAGCCACTCCCAGGTCCTCGTCTCAGTTTTCTAATCCACTAGGAAGCTACTTATTATAGCATTGTTCACACAGGCAAGGTATGGAGTCACTCAAGGTGATCAAAGAATGAATGGACAATTCTATATATAAGGTCATAAATATGGAGGGTACCACTGAGCCGTTTGAAGGAATGCATTGTGTCATTTTGACAACATGGACATCATAATGTTAAATTAAACAAATCAGACACAGAAAAGATAAATACCCCCAGGAATCCTAAACTAGAGAGCATAGGAGAGGTCACTGGAGACCAGGAAGCATAGGGAGGCTGGGCAAGGGACACTGGTTAACAGGTAACAGTGTAACCACAGAGAAATACAGCAGGTAACAATGTAACAGCAGAGGAGTAGACTTCTGACTGTTACAGAAGGCTGTTTGTAGTCAGCCATCTTGTATCATGTAAAATAGTTACAAGAGGATACCTATAAAAAACTGAGAGGGTCTCGTTAGGTAGCCCTAGCTGGCCTGGGACTCCCTATGTAGAGCAGGCTGGCCTCCAGCTCAGAGATCCACCTGCCTCTGCATCCCCAAGGGCTGGAGTTAAAGGCATGCTTTATCACATCAGGCCAGAATACTTCTAATGTCTTGTCGCGAAGAAATAATAGATGTTTGAAATGAATAATCTACGTGCCCTGAGTTGCTCAATTGGAATCTGTTCATACCGAAGAACACCACACTATACCCATGAAGATGCTGTTACATTTGTTTAAAAGGTAGAGAGATGACTCTTGCCCAGTTGATCAGTGCAGCTCCAGGGACAGATTCAAAACAGTCCAGAGAACTTAGGAGACACACACGCAGTCCATATCCTCAACCCCTTTAAGCCCCCATGCCTGTCTTCCTCACTATCTCCCTAGACTATTTGGTACACTTCAAGACCCTATGCATCAAACTGCCATACGAGAATGAAAGAAGTCCCCCACACCCTCTCAACTCTCCAGAGTCACAAATATATA